AATTTTTATTATAATATTATACAAAAATGTAATTTAGAATTAACATACCTATATATTTTATATAATTAAAATCTCTTCTAATATATATATATTTATACATTAAAATATGTTATTGTTATAAAAACATAGAAATTTACAGCTCATTATTAAGTTACAAATGCATAATGAATGATCGCGGAGTTCCTTGTTAGATAAATCTAGAATACGGAAAGGCAAGGAAACACTAGCACAGGAAGTAGTGATTTTGACACATAACGTCTCGATTTCCGTAAATGATATACGGAAAACATACGACCGAAAAGCAAAATGTGTTTGATGTGAACGAGAGTGAAAGGGCTATCATCGAAAGGCTGCAATGGCAATTTATAAAGTAAGAGGGCCTGCAATCTGCTTAATCGTTTTGTTCCAGTTCAACATTCACTATAGGTGCGTAAGAATGCATTTTGTTCCGCAAGAAAACGCACAAGTTCATTATCAACCAATCGTGACGACAATATTCACATCCACTTTTATAACTATTATAAATAGTCTCGAAAAAAAGAGTTATTTTAAAATAGCTTCCGGTAATTTTTTTTATATAGAACTTGCTTTCTTAATTTATTTAATATGTATATTTCCAATGCCTTCTAATTGTATTTATTTTATTATATAATTTAATCGTTTTTTTCTTCTTCTCTTTCTTCTCTCTTTTCATAATGCATGTTTTGACAGAATAAAAAAAAATTTTTTTATGTTATGTATGAAAAACTATCTAGAAAAATACGTTTCTCAAAAATATGAATTTAAATAAATAAATTTCTCAATTCATCCATTATATTTGTTGATTCTTCCAATGTAAATTTTGATATTATTTAATATATTTTAGTATTTTTTATATTTGGCATAAACATTATAAACATTATAAAATTTAAACGCGTTTTATATAAATATATTATTTATTAATTTATACTATATAATTATCTCGCGGCGGTATATCAAGTAGTAGTAGTTAATACATGTATAATTATTAGAGTTATCAACATATAATAATTTTGATGGTAACTTTGATTATTGATTATTGTTTATCATTACATAGTTTTTATTTATTTCTGGCAATAGTGGCTAATCGTAAGAATTAGTTTAGTTTTAGATTGAATCATTACATGTATTTGCTTATTTTATCTTTTTGGTAAGTATAAAAAAATATGCGTACTTTCTAAATCGCAGATAGTTTACAGATATTTATTTATATCACATATTATATTACCGGAGTTCAGTTGAGAAAACAGCAAAAAAAAAACCGAAACCACAAGATAATTTAAATACCTAAAAACCTATAACCACGAGACGAATAAAATTAGAACAAATAATAAATACAAGTGAATTTAGATCCAATTAAACTATTTTATTTAATTCTAATTACTTAATACTTATTATTATTAATATAAGTTCTACATCTATTTGTAGATATATTTATATTAGTTTAAGAATTATTATTATATTATATAATCACAAAAAATATTTTTTTAAACTCTATCTTCAGTTGTAAAAAATATCAATAATTATAAATATCAATAATTTCAATTGTTTTACATAAGTGAATTTTACAAACGTGCGCATATATATACAAAATATATACAAAGCTGATTAAAAACGCAGATATTAATTTTAGATTTCTGAATTAACATGCCATTATTATCAATTATCTTGGCGGATGTATTTACCGACTTTCATTGAAAGTGAGAGGAGAAAGAAAGGACAGTGCAGATAATTTTACTTTTGCTTTTGTGTCAAACCGGTTTTTGTCCTTTGCATTCTGTTAAGCTTTGCATAGTTATTGTTTAAACGCAATATTAATTTAAATTTAATGAATCTTAATTATTAACTCTATAACCTCGCAAAAAAAATTTGTACGACAGAAAATGCAAAATTTAATCTTTTTTAATTTTTTTTTTTTTTTTAATTTTGGACTATTCTCTTTACATTTTGTCAATAAATTTTTTGTTATTAATTAAACAATTCTAATATTAAATTAGTTTTTAAATTAATTACAATCATCTATTAATCATCTGATGATCACAATTATTTATCAAAAATTTAAGAATTAAGATTATTATATTATTCTAATCGTGTATATATGTACGTATGTATTATTTAATTTTGTGAAAATTATTTGAATCAAAAAACGATCATCCGAGAATTTGTTTAGTGATAAATTCAGAGTTTGAAGTCGCAGGCGGATGCGGAAGTGAACGTGCAATGAAGTACCACTTCCTACCTTCACTTAGCTTATAGTTCAAGCAGAACAATGGCCTATTTTTACGTAAGTTGCTTTTTCAGCAAAGCTGGAGAAAGGCACAAAAGTGCAAAATGTACAAATCAAAACCATCGCTGCCTTGATTAATTTAGAGCTTGCTTGAAGCTATAGAGATCCAGAAAGCGATTGTTAATAGCTAAATAATAATAAATGACTAACAATAAGAGAAATTACTGAAACTTATAACAAAATTTAAAGATGTCGATAAAAAATAAAAGAATGTTTAATAATAAATATATTTCTCTCTTTTCCCTATATTTAAAAAATAAAATATTATATTATTATGCGTGTGAAAAAACACTTTAAATATTTTCATCACAATTATTTAAATTATAATTAAAATAATAAAAAGATATACATTATTTATAAAAAAAATAGCTTTCTATGCGTATGATTTTTATAAACCATTCACACATACACACATAGATTAAAAATAAATTAATAAATTTAAGTGCAAAACATCTCGGCATTGAAAACTTGTATGTATATATGTGTGTGTGTGTGGATATGCAAAAATTTAGCGGAAGTCATATTGTTTTTTAAATAGATAATTCGAAAAGTAGCACAGCGTTTACCACAAATTGAATCAATATAAAGTGCTTCTGTAATGGCATTTTAATTCGAGAACTGGTATTATACATTTATGTGTGATCGACTATCTCTATCTCTTTAATTGGCCTTTTCACTGCATAACCACAAATTCCAGTTTTATACAACAAATACAACTTGCGGAGAGTTAATGGCACTTAGCCAGTTTATCAAAAAATATCTTTCCTGTTTGCTAACTTGAACTGCATGTATCATGAATTACATATTGGAATATCGCCAGCACATAGTTTCAAAATAATATTAATTTTTAGATTGTTTCTCCTAATAGCACGCAATATTGCTGCAGCAATGTATCACAAGAAAAGTATATACAGGCGGAATTAATCGAACGTTTATGATGTTATTTACATAGATGGCACCATCTTTACAATGATAGATATAGAATGTATTTAATAATAATAAATTAATGGCATAATATATAAATAAAAATGTGATAACCTTGTGTTAAAGAATTAATTATGTTATCTGTTGCGTATAGTTTTATAGAATTTGCAAAAATAGCTGTTGCAAGTTAGTTTGTAAAAATTGATAAATAAAATTGATTAACACATACGCAAGCATAATTTTTTAAATTTTTATTAAATAAATATATAAAAATTGGAATATATATAGAGCTTATACAACTGTATACATTTATATAAAAAGTTTTCTTGAAGATGACCAGCAAAAGAGATAATATCATCCATTTTGATTACTATTAAATTATTAATTTAAAGTTATGTGATACATAGGCAAGAAAAATAATTTTGTATCGTTTATTTTTGATTCTTTATTCAGTATAATAATTGCGCTCTCGCCGAAGCACATATCCAAGATGAAAAATGCTCAGAATGTCGCAAACTTTCGTCGATAGTGTTTTGCGTGTTATATCATTTCCGAATCAACGCATCATTGCACGAAGATGTCAACGGCAACGACGTGCATAGACAAAAACTCGCAATAAAGTGAAAGTCCACGTGTGCGAATCTCTTGTTTCGTTCACAAAGAGTTGGCGACGAATTTTGCTCTCTGACGCACTCTTACATCGTGTTTTATGTCGCCTTTTAAAAAATATAATCGCCTTTACGTCGTCTTTACGATAAGTCTCGTTGTGAGCCCGCTAAGTGCCCGCCTTGCACAACCCAGTTTTCTTCTTTCGCGGCCTCATTATGCATTATGTTGATCCGATCTGTGCGGGTTGATTGCGATTTCTCGATTTACATATCCCTCTCAATACTTTCACATGTATGTGTGATATTTCGAACCGGTGTAACGGATTATGTAACAGTTTACATTGAAATGCATTACACTATTTTA